TGACTGCGGGCTCGGGCCTTGCCCTGGCTTCACCGGTGAGAGGTCCTTTAAAAATAGAGACTGAGGGGAGGGAGGAGTGTTTGCGGCTGCATCGTGTGGCCTGCCCGATCCTGTTACTCCTTGAATGCTGTAGCCCAGGGGCAGCACCAAGGCTGTGCTGGCCTGGGGGAGGTGGCTCTGAGGGAGCAGGAAGTGAGAGCCCCATCAGACTGTTTCTGAAATGGAAAAGGGGGTAACAAGGTGGACACTTTGCCTGCCAGATGCTAGAGTCCTGGTTCTCCACCTTCTTGGGATCGACCCCTGGCCCCCTTGTTAGTCCAGGCCCTGTTGGGAAGTGGCGGCTCTTCCTTTTCACTTGTTTTTAGACTGTGGAAACATCACAGAGCAATAGTGTTGGTCTTGCAGAGAGCTCAGGAAGACCACCATAGGGCAGGACGTTGTTGGCACTGTGGGTTCCTGTTTGAAATCTCTGAGTGAATTGGGCTTGCACACCTCACAAGGCTGGAGCTCCAGGCACCCCAGGTCCCTGCAGCACCCTGGTTGAGATGGAAAGTACTAGGTTCTCTGTTTTACTGATAAGATATAATGATGACAAGCTAAATTCTGCGGGCACCTTAAATCAAAGTTATTTCAGTATTTATGTGCATAAGCATTGCTGTCTAAGACAGTGTTGATTTAGAGCTATGTCATGTTGAGTTTTTAGCTCATACTGTGTTTTTGTGGCTACTGTAGGGGATCCAGCCAAGTACTTTGTATTCATGGTATTTGAAATTTTTTAATAGTAACATGGGTCCTTTGAAATCAGTTTAGTTTTAAGCTATAGTGGACCATAAACGAATAGGCTAGTTTTTATATTGACTTCTACATCTTAAGGAAGAGATGCGAGTGAAATAACACAATGTATTTTTTTTCCTTGGGGCAGCATAACATTAATCTGTGATCTTTATTGTGGATCTTTCCTTTTAGCATTATGTAAATATTAGTCTCACTAGCTACAGCTCCAAGTTTTGAACAGTGATGTGAATTCAAGCCCTCAAATTGGTGATGATTGGTTCTGTAAAAGTAACTTTGTTCAAGGAAGGTCCATTAGTTCTGATTGGAAATAATAGCACCATTGTTTCTTGCTGAAGTGAATGAATATCTGGCGCACAACTTATAATGCTGTGAAGCTGCTCTTGGTAGAGCATGCTGAAAGTTGGCAACTATTACAAACATCAAGGCCCAGGATATGCAAAAAGTTGAAGTAAAAGGTATTATCAGATTGTCTGTAAACAAAAGTGAGTAAGGTAATATAATAAGAGGGAATAGGGAGGTACAGCCTACTTAAACTGTGCAGAATTAATATTAAAGACGGTGAGTTGATTACCAGTTTCTTAATGTTTACAATTGCTCAAGGGATTTTAAAGACAGAAATTTTAGTATAATTTGATAATGTCACTTAGCTAGCTATCTCAATGCAGTTTATCCAACACTGCAAATATTACAGTTGGTTAATACCATGTGGTGGTTAATGTCCTGCAGTATACTAGACACTACTTATTCTGGAGGCCTGTAAAAACTCTATAGTGAAGCTGAATTTTCTGTTTGTTTTTTTTAAGGTGCCCTTTGAGTACTATCTAAACTTCTAAAAATTAAAGGATCTATCTGCAAGGTTGCACACAGGTTTCCCTCTTATGCTTTTGTATTTTTGTTTTTCTTCCTACTTTACAAAGTATATAGTAAATTGAATAATTCATTTCTAAGATTGGTTAAAATGCAATGCCTCAAAGTTAATTTTTTTTAACCCTTTATAGCTTAAAATTAGCTTGACCTCAAAATTTCAAATCTGTCATCTTGCAGAATGCTGTTGTGGAGGATGCTGATTTTTTTTTTTTTTTAAATATGTGCATCAGGCTAAGCGTGCAGTTCCATGTGTACATTATGTATTTGAACTTTGGTCATATAATGGATTGCAGTGGTCAGGGTTGTAATTATGCATGA